AAAAAAAAAGAGCAACATATAATTATGCACTTGACAGGCTGTTTTGCCATTTGTAATACACATTTTTCCAACCGAATCACAATGTACATAATCATTAAACAGGCTACCATTTTTCTTGTTCCTCTTGTATATAAATAATGTAAATACATCAGAATTAATGGTTAAATTGTCTCCCAGTAACACGCCTTAGAGCGTAATGGAAATAACCACAGATGTTTGTCCCATTGTGCTTTTAAAAAACGTCAAGTAAGATTTGTCACTCAGCACAGAACCAGCTCTTTCTTTGCCAGTCAGCCCTAACCACAGCAGAACAGAAGAATCGAGTTGTTTATAGCCTAACCTTGCTGAAGATGTAAATACTCAGAGCTTCAAAATTTAATTGACGTTACAGCATTGATCCCATGCCATCGAATGCAACATTCCAAGGAGCAAATCCTTGGAGTTTGGTAGCACTTAATGTTATTACCAAGAGGTGACTAGCTGCAAACCCAGTGAAATATGCATGAGGAGATGCCAGCCTTCCCCACCATCTGTTCCCAGCTTCACTCCTCGGCTCTGAAAGGGAACTGGGAGGGGGCAACTGAAAGGGAACTGCTGGGCAAACTGGGGCCACCCCTTCCCACGGGCTGGAGCTCTGTGCCAGCGAGGGAAGAAGAAAATCTGAGCCATGGAGGGGCACACGGAGAGCTTTGTGCTTCCCTGTCCTCCACCAGGAGGGACCCGGCGCAGGAGCCACCTCACCTCTGCCACTGTCACACGCCTGGGTAACAGGGAGGGTTTTCAATGGGACAGGAAAAGCCATGAACACCCTAAAGCACAACCAGGAATTGCTCACCTGGGTGCAGGCTCTGTGCTGGGGCCACAGGGACACTCGGCTTTGGCACAGGTTTCTGTGCAGGTTCATGACACACCCTGATTGTTTCAGAGGGAAGGACCCTGACCTGCAGAACAGTTCAGGAGAAAAACTCCAGAACTTCAAAAACAATTAAATCCACTTGTTTGATTTCAGGTGTGCTTAGAGGTAAAGAAAAGCTGATTTCAAGGGTTTCACCTATTTTCCACTCTTTCCCAGTAAAATTACGGACTAGCAGTTAAGAGCTTGGGGAATTTAAAAGTGCCCATCACACTGACCAATGCTTCTTTGTCTTAATTTTCAGAAATACTATTTCTTATTGGCATTGCTGAAGCAGGTTGCAAGAAATGTCAGAATGCATAATGGCTTTATGGTTTAAATGAAGGCCAAGGACACAACATTGCCCTTCCAAATAAAGTAAAATCAGTTTCTCGGTCTGTGCTGTTTGGCTAAACCCACAGCACACTGATTTTCTGTTCAAATGTCTTTAAAATACAATTTGAAGATGTTCTGATATGCTTGTTCCTGAAGGAAAATTCCAAAACTTTTAAAAATGCACTTTACAAATAACTGGGGCTCTAGCATTCTCCAGCCTGTGGTAGGGAAATGTGCTTATGGAACATTACTGCAGAGTGCTAAAATATCCAGTCTAAACTCTTGGCAATTAACTCTGTGCCAAAGCTGCAAATGAACCAGCTTTTCACTCTTGTTCTTCATCTTTAATTAGAGTTGGACAAAAAACAGGAACATCGTGACAAAAAATTCTTCTCCCCATTTTTTTTAAATTTCAGAACTGTTTGATCATCTGGAGCATTGGCTCCAGCACAAGTGCTATGCATCTTCTACCTTTGTGTCAACATTCGTTATAAAAAGAACTGGTAATTAGATTAGTCCTGTGAGCAACAGTTGCTTATCTAAGCATGTGTTTGACAGGCTGAGCCATAAATACGGAGCTGTACGTGAATATAAGGAGAAATCAAGACTTACCAAATAAAAACTAAGCTCATTTCCATGTTCTGCTAGCTAATAAATGCTGTAGGGCCATCCATTTTCTCACTGTCATTACGTTAATGTTCATTTCTTTCATGTATCACTTAATTTTTTTTATCCCAAAATTAGAGCTTGATTCTAAAGCCCTTGTCCAATAAAAATAAAATAAAAACACCACCCTGGAGTTGGGTGCTGGTTGAGCAAAACTGTGAAAGCATCTGCTGTGCCAAGGCAGGGGCAGAGGAGCTGTCGGGATGTGCCCACCCTGTGTGGAGCCGTGCTTGGCAGCAGATGCTTGTGACCAGCTGGACGTGTGTGACTGAAGGGCTGGAACCACCTCCCTGGTGTGTCTTACAGGGGGAACTCTTGCTGTAGTGCTTGTGCTAAATAAATCAAGAGCTGCAGCTCGGAGGTGTCAGAGCACAGCCTCAGTGTGAGCCCTGCCTGCTGTGATCCAGCTCTCCTGGGGGCCTCGGTGATCCTGCCTCTCTACACTCCATTACCTGGATTTTTGGTCAAATCCATGAAAGTGATGGCTCGGCTCCAAAGCTGGCAGGTTCCTGTGGCACAGCTGAGGGCTGGCACTCCTCTTTGGCTTTTAGCAGCACGTGCAGTCGCCAGGACAGCTCCAACCAGCACTGGGTGCTTGGCTGGAGCCAGAAGGGCAGTGCCTGTCTGAGCAGGGGCTGGCACTGCCCTGGGTCCTGCAGCAGGGGCTGGCACTGCTCTGGGTCCTGCAGCAGGGG